TAGGGTCATGATCTGTATTACATGCTTTTTTTAAACATCAAACAGTGTTGTTCAGATGTGTAGTTAAAGTTACTGAAATGAAATAACACATTTGAGAGCAACAAAGGGGTAATAATGTCGTTTCATTACAGCACTTCCATATTTAAAATAAGTATTTATTATTTTAAAACAATTACTTTGAACACAAAAGTATTAAGATTATTGTGTAATTCTATAAGCCTCTTGGAGATTGCATTGATGGGGGAGTCAAAGAGATAACACAGACAGAAAACAGCAGTCCACTGGTAAATTGACCAACAACATAAAGCATTATACATTTGTTTCCCTGAGAAACAAAAACTTTAGTGTTTAACCTAGACCTTAAATCAGCAGCCTTGGGATATGTCTTTTCTATACAGGCATTTCTTTTTTGTCTCATGAAATGCAACTCTGTTTTGAATGTATTATACATTGTTTAAAAACTGCCATTTCCCTCTGACCGCTTGCACCCATCATCAAAATTTTTAGAATTTTACTCAGTTCACGGTTTTGTCATTTCTGTGTTTGTCCTAGTAACTTCAGTTTCTTTAGCCATGAAAAACACTGTCACCAACACAAAAGCAACCATAGGGTAATGAACTATTTTTGCACACCTGAGGTAAAGGTCGTTGAGAGAAAAAATATCACTGCTTTAAAATCAGACAGGGCTATGAAAGTATCTTGCTAGCAGCTGCCGAGAACAATTTGCAGTTACACTTCTGTTTACTGCTGCAGAAATGCTGCCTGGCTGCTTCCAAACCATTAGGACAAAGATCACATTTTGTTCAGAAAGCCAGTCTCCTCAGGTGTTCAGGAGCTTTTGGAAACTAGCACCTAAAAGATGAACATGACACAAAATGCTGCCAGAACAGAATTTCATCTTGCTGGTTAATTTACGGACAGCTTGAAAACTGCTCCCTAAAGGGTACAATGCTTCAGTTACAGAAGATGAACCCCCAGAAGAAACTTAAGCACAGTCAAAGAGCAGTGCTACAAAACGGTGCTGCCAAACCATGCACGGTCTTTATGATAAAAACAATTCCTTACCATCTGTAGCTTACCATATGCAGGAATTCTCATTATTTAACTGTTAGCCTGTGCTGTGAAAATAGAGTAGGAGAAAACAAGCCGTTTTTATATTTATAATAGTAAACAAAAATATTTTTGCAAGGGTGTTAATAACTTACTGTAAATTTTGCAACAGAATATAGTCTACAGACTGAGAGTGTTGCAGGAACACAATTTGGTTTCACTGTTACGCACTGAATCCTCTCAGTATTGCACTACTCTTATCTGGATATCACACTTTTATCACCACTAGCTTTTCTGAATATAACACCACAGCCTTGTAATTTAAGGCACTGGAAGCATGGAGCCACGTGAATTTTGAAGACACCGCAAGAGGTGGGAGAAGAGATTAATTTGTAGGGAGAATCCAACTCTTTGACAAGATGGGATGAATCTTCTGTAGTCTACATGGCAGACACTGAACTGGTACAGTACCTTGTACAATATAAAACTCCATTTGGCTTCAAGCAATAAGTAACTCACTGAGAACATTCAACTTCACACTGAAAAACTTACTCTGTTAAAACATCAAGAGTTCCTCTTGCTCAAAAGAGAAACTTCTCACCTCAAGGCACTAAACAAAGCCATTCAGAAAACATCACAAGCTTACTTTATCAACTCTGTCTCCACAACATTTAAGATTTTTTTTTTTCTTTTCTAAAGAGAAGCCCACATGAAACTTCCCACAATAGTTGCCCTTTAAGGCAATGTTGGAAATGCCTGCTTTCTAAGGTGTACACACAACCAGAAAACTGAGCCAGAGGTTAGGAAGGGTAAGAGAATTGCAAGCAGCACATAGCTGTTCAAAGCAAGATAGGTAACAACATTGTATTATTTCAATCAAATATATCGTAGGACAGAATGCTGTAAAATAACAATTAGCTCTTTGCTACTTTCTGCCACCTTTCAGCATATGCCAGTCCGATTATACACCTGCGGAGCAGAGAGGACGCGGTGTCCCGGGGCCGGGGCCGGCCCTGTGCCGAGGGACAGGCCCGCTCACAGCTCCCAGGCTAGTTCAGCTAACGCTTTGGCAGCGTATTTTTACCCTATAAACTAAAATCTATCAACGACCTCAGAAAGTCACACAACTTACCTCACGAAGATGCCAAGGGACAGAGCAATCTTCAGCGGCGCGAGGCTGAGGGCAGAGCCAGGTCCCCGCGGAGCGGTGCCGGTATTTCAGAACCGCGACCGCTGCGGCGCCCTGCGTCCGAAAAGCCCGCACTGTTCCGAGCGCAAGCTTAGTTAAGCCTAAGAGAAGGATTTCCTACCTTACAGTTCATAATATTACCAGAGTACGATCGCTAGCCCGAGCCCTCCCGCGTTCCCGCCCGGCTCTCGGCGGTCGCAGCAGCCGGCCCC